CCACCCCCAGGTGATGGGTGTGCCTGAATTCCTAGAGGCAGGGGTGGGGACTTGGGCAATAGGTTACTTGAACTGCCAGATCTGTGCCATGAATTCCTGAGACTCTTTGAATTCTCAAGCTCCCTGTGACCCTTCCTCTGACCTTGACCCTATTTAGACTGGACCAGCTCAGCTGCCATTTTGTGCCATGTCTTATATTTCCTGACTCTCTTGAGGTCACCATGGCATACCTCTTCAGCTCTCCATTGGCGTTGATCTGGTTTGTTGGGATTGTTTTCCCACTCTTTCTTTACTCCCCTATTCTCGTGGCTCAATTTTCTAACAGTGTTAAGTGTATTTGAGGCTGCAAGTTCTTTGGGGACATGTGTCCATCTACAGTTTTCACTGGTTTTCTAATAAAGACTCCTGATATGACCTCTAAAAATGTGGCTTCTCTCTATCTCGCAATTGAATTTCTTCTGTATAACACAACAGTCTAACCAAAAATTGATATTTTTTTCTAATCCTCTTTAGAAGTAAATAGATTAAAATGTCTTAAGGCTAAGTATGCCAGCAAATTGATAATATGGTCACATAACTTGACGTGATTGGTGAATAAGAATAACAAGAAATATATCTTATAGCTAATGTACTGGATGTAGTCTTCACACGTTTTCAACTACATGAAAATTTTGCTTTATTGTTCTATTGTGGGTTTACTTTTATTATTCTAAATGCTTCAATGTAAAAAGGAAAGTTTCCTTGTAATAGTGGTATTCTACACCAAAAGCAATGATTACCTAACCTGTAACCTACCATTCATAGTTGGTCATGTCCACTATGGATGATTGAATTTATAATGACATTAGAAAGGTTAAACTATACTTAGTGAGTATCACTTATTTCTACCACTTGCATTTTAAATAGAATCTATATAGATTATGCAATATTTTCAGACTATATCAGAAAGTACACAGAATAATTTAATAAACACTAATGCATTCATTGACAGCTTTGCCAAATCTTAAAATGTGGTTATTTTCTAGAAGAAATTGAGCAAATGAGATATTCAGTAAACTTTGATTCCTTCCCTACCCAGAGGAAATGGTTTCTTGAGTTTGGTATTTATAATTCTCTTAATTTTTTTCATGCTACATATATGCAATATTTTGATATATTTTGTATGCATAAAGTAATGAAACTTTTTATAAATGTTATCACTCTAGAAATACTCTTTTCTAAATTAGCATTTGTCACAAAATTTTTACATATTTTGAAATTTATTCACATTGATTGATTGGGTTGAAGTTCATTCATTTTTTTTTCCTGTTTTGGGCTTGAACTCAGGGCCTGCCTACTATCTCTGAGCTTTTTTTGCTCAAGTCTAGCACTCTACTACTTTGAGGCACAGCACTACTTCTGGATTTCTAGTGGTTAATTGGAGATAAGCATCTCACAGACTTTCCTGCCCGGGTTGCTTTCAAACTGTGATCCTCAGATCTCAGCCTCCTGAGTAGCTAGGATTACAGGCATGAGCTGCTGGCACCCAGCGAGTTCCTTCATTTAAATAGCTTGTGGTATTCTATTGTAAAATGTGAAAATTTAGGCAAGTCTTCAGCTAGAAGGTGTAGTTCCCATGAAAGTATTCACACTTCTAATACAAGTTTGTGGGATTGCAAAATTATTCTCCAGTTTGATTGCTAGAAGGCTGTGACAGAAGTCATTGAAAGCTGTTATACTCATAGACTTGATTTATTAGAGGGAGTGAATATAGATTGAAATCAGTCAAGGAAGAGGGGCTCCGAATGTGGAGTTTCTACAATGTCTTTTCACCATGGAGTCAGAATAATGTCCCTCTCCCAATATGGATATGTGACATTGCACACAAGAATGACCAACCAAGAAAACTCCCCTGAGTCTCAGTTCAGGACTTTTTTTTATTGGCACTGCATTTATTAGGTATGTTTGATTGCCCATGGAGCAAATCTCAATTTTCCATGCCCTCTGAAGGTTGGTTGATAATACCATATTCAAAGCCCTCTCCCTAACTCATACTGTTAAATCTTTTTGACATGGCCAATCCCCACCCTAAGACTATCTGGTGTTTCTAGCCCTGACCCTCAATCATACAATTAGAATGTTTCTTGACCCAGTGCCTCTAGGCAAGCAAAAACATTCCTTTCAGACATGACATTTTGAAAGCTTAGAGATCACCTCCCAGAAGCTGAAGACAAAAGCTAGACCTTCTTTGGGTAAGGTGAAATTCTTTACTGCACATACTATTTTTACATTTTATTTTGTGCATTTTTCTTAATCAGTATATGAACTGTTTCTTATGATTATACAATAGTACCTATTTTATTTATTAATGTATACATGAAAAATTACACCCATCATATACAGCTATTTGGCACATACAAAAAAGTGCCATTTACAAATACTAATTCATTTATTCCCCAAAAGAGCTCTATATGAATAAGTGCTATGATTTTATCGACGAGAAAATAAGATATAGAGAGGCTGAATGTCTCCTTCTAGATCTTACAGCTAGTATGTGGCAGAGTTGGTATATAATCCTACTCATTCAGAACTCCTTCTCTTAGTCTCTATGCTGTGCAACCTTAAAAGTGTATAGCAACAAAAGTTTTATATACATTTGCCACATAGGTGTTAGGGTTTCATGAAGGTCTACACCTAACAATAAGGTTGCTTCTCTAGCCAGGTGCTGGTGACTCATGTGTGAAATCCTAGCTACTCAGGAAGTGAGATCTGAGGATTGTGGTTCAAAGCCAGCTCAGTCAGGAAAGTCTATGAGACTCTTATCTTCGATTAACCTCCAGAAAACCAGAATTGAAGCTGTGGCTCAAAGTGGTATAGTGCTAGCTTTGAACAAAAGAGATCAGTGACAGAGTCCAGACTGCACGTCCAAGCCTCACAACCAACCAAAACAAAACAAAACAAAAAAAAAGGATTGCTGTTCTAGAGATAGTATTCATCTTGAACTTGACTAATAATGCCAAATTGTCACTGGCACGGATACTTTTAACAGTAAATTTTTATATGACTCTTTCCTAGTCTATATGTATACTCCTCTTTTTATTGTCTAGATGTTTAAATTTTTGAAGTACTTCATTTTTAGTCTTTTTCTGCATATTTTTTGCATTTTATTGAAGAAATCTCTTTCCCTAGTTTTAGAAATTTGCCCTGCTCTATTTTTTTTTTTTATTATTACAAGTTTTACTTTCTGTATTTAAGCCTGGTAACTTCCTGGAATTGAATTTGAAAATGGTGGAATGTAAGAGTATAATTACTCTTCTCATATGGACAATCTGTTGTCCTCAAATCTTTTTCCTATGGGCTATTCTTTCTCCACAAGACTATAACTCTACATTGGTCATTATTATGTCTGTTTATGCATAGCCGATTCATTTTCTATTATTGCTTAGTGCAAAACGTAGTAAGCTAAAACAACAGAGATTTATTACATTCTTGAAGATCATGGGTCTAAAAGGGGTAGAACCTCATGCATGCATTCCTTAGAGCAGTAGGGAACATTATTTTTTCTTGTTTTTCCAACTTAAAATGCCGCTTGCATAGTTTGCATGTGTCTTCCTTCTAGTAATGGCCATGCTTGGACATCTGCTCTCATCCTTACATCCTCTCTGAGACCTTCCTGCTTCTTATTTAAGAAACTTTGCGGTTTTATTGCACTCTCCATATCATGTCATCTCAAGGTTTTTAATCATTTCTAAAGGCTTCCTTGACACAATTCCAGGGATTAGAGTATGAATATTTTGTGGGGTGGGGACATTTTCATCCTGCTGTAGACTTCCTTTTGGCAATTACATTGTTCTTGTTTCTGATTCATCCATTTTTAACATACTCATAATCTGTATCTGATGGTTCTATCAGAATAAAGTTTTGGAGGAATTTAACCCTGCTCTTCTTGTATTTGCTAATTGTTACTCAGGGCCTGAGGTCCTGTGTTACATAGTTTTAGATTTTAAACTCCTTATCAGGGGACTGTATTTGTGGTAGTGGATTGTATCTGGGCTTGGTTGAAGTCATACTCTTCCAAAAAGGATTTGTAGTTGCTTCTACTGTGTCTCTGGGGTTATCACTATCCCAGAACCACTTGCCATGTAATAACATGAAATATCTTGGATAAGGGTACTGGCGATCTTATAGTGGCATAATTTTAAATCCTCAGTCTGTGTGAGAGCAGATCACTGATGGTAAGTACAGAAGTATAATCTTCCTCTAACCAGGGCTTAACACAAAGCAGCATTTTGGTTTGTTTTCCCCCGTCTGCTAAGAAGTGGATCACCTTTTACTCAGTGGACCATAAGATCCCTTAAAGATCTAGAAATGGTATCTTACTCTGTTCCCAACCTGGCTGTTTAAAATTCAGTACATAGGTTTCTGAGATAAGCAAGCTCCTTAAGACTGATGCTCCCTTAATTCATATGCTCACTATTCCAGTTGTCAGTTTCCACTTCAGTTTCATGGTAAGTAAAACTTCTGAAGTCTTCCCTGCTTCAGTCCTCTTTGAACATGTACCTGGTGCTTCCTGTTAGGTGTCTTAACACATAGTTCTTAAGGGTAGTTGTAGTGTTTGTTTTTTGTTTTTTGCCTTTGTTATATTATGTTTTGGATAAGGCTAGCCTTAGGCCTTGATTCTCATACCTATATTTTCCATATTAGGTGGTGGTATGCATCGTCATGCATGGTATTTATTGAAATAGGTTCACAAACTCTTTTTGCCTGGGCTGGCTTGATTTGTAATCCTCCTCTTATTTCTTAAGTCTCTATATGCTTGCAATTTCACAGGAATATACCACCATTCTGGGCAAGCTACTGCTAAATTTACCTCTGAGAGTTTCCTCAGGCCATGATTGAGAACATAAAAAAATTATCAAAATTCTTTTTCTGCATTATCAATTTTCACATGTAGTATACATAAAATGTAGTTTTCTTCACTTTTAGCCCAATTCTACTGATTTTTACTTTTCTTTTTCTAGGATGTGTGCTGTGTTTGGTGGAATCTATTGTCTTCGCCATTCTGTACAGTGCCTTGTAGTGGACAAAGAATCCAGAAAGTAAGGATGCTATAAGTTACCTTCCTATATTCATCCTCCAAACGCAGGTGAAAAATGTTAAAGTCAACTTTAAAAAAATGATTCTTGAAAGATCCTCCTTGGTATTAATAACATATCAACCTTGATTAAAAGTAATTTGTGTTTAGATCTTCCAGAACAAGGAAAGTGAGTTCAGAATATAGAAACTAAATTAATTTCCCTGCAATGTGACTACAGCTCCTGACCATCCAAGCTTGGAAGACAAATCATTTTAGCTGCCAGGGGTAGGCGATGAGTGATGTTAGTTTTCCTTGTGGCCTTACCTCCTCTAATTGATTTTCGTCAGATGACAACAAAGCCCTCTGTTATTGCATTTTTAAAAATGGAACTCACATAAAGACTCATCAGATTAATCTCTGCTGATAATGCATGTCACTCCAAGAGAAAAGACTTTAATGAGTTTTTAGGTAGATTGTTGTCATAAACTATCCTGCCCTGTTATCTGAGGATAAATTTTTTTACACACTATCAAGCCTACAAACCAGTTGAAGATAGGAATTTACTTGCTTAAAAAAGCTGAGTACCATTTATTTACCTGTGTATTTTTTCTTTTGATTATTGTTCTAGAATTTATTTGTTATTAGAGTATATAATTGTCTGATTTAAGTGAAAGAAAATAATATGTTACACATCTAGATCTTTTCCAGGTTTTTCACTGAAACTTTGTTTCAACTGGATGGAGATTTAAAAGCTACTAAAACAGCTTTTTTTCACTTATTTAGATATATCAAGCACCTATATTTCTTGGGTAACTCTTTAAGGCTATGTAAAAAAAAATAGTATCATTGAGGTCATAAAATACCTTAATGTTTTGAACTAGAATCTAATATAGTAAAAGTTTTAATCTCTACTGAATATTTTTGAGTAATTTTGTGTAGTCATAGTGGCATAAAATGACTGTTAACTTGTCATTGAATAGAATGTGTTGTAAGTTGTATTTTGAGCTAGGACAAACAAAAACCTTGAGAAATATGTAATAATAAATTTGTAATTCTGTAAATAAGAAAAGTTAGAGTTTAACAAAAATGTATGAATTAAATGAAATCTGGTAGTTTACAGTGAAAATAATCCATCCCTAAAGGCTAAGGTAGTCTCATCTTGGCTTATGAAGATCTCTAAGTGGGTCATAAAGGAATAGTTGTCTTTCTGACTTTTGGAAGTGTCATATATATATATATATATATATATATATATATATATATATATATATATATATAATATTGCATTCATTCTGAAACAAGAGTATGACAGAAAGATAGATAATGAACTGCTTCCTCAGTGCTTATTTCCTTAGATCAGTCAGTCTCACATGTGACATGAAAAATTTGCATGGCTCATGTTCTTTTGATTTGGAATGGTTATGCTGTAGTACAGTAATAGCTTTTGTTGAAATGAAGGCTACATTTACCTTACCTTGACCTAGGTTAGAATGGACTATGAACAAAGAAATTCTTCTATATGATCTATGCAGATTCCTGTTACAACAGATAGCTGAAGGCTAAAGGTCTAGAGACCAAAAGAACTTCCAGATAGGTAGTATTTATTATGCCTAAGAATTGCCAGGTAAGCTTGTCTAAAAAAATAAGGTATATCATACCCATGGGAAATAATGCTGCAATAAACATAGTTGTGCTGTAGCTTTAATATGGTCTTGTTTGTGATGATTTGGGTAAATGTCCAAAAGTGGGATTGCTGGGTCATAGGGGAGCTCTATGTGTAGTCTTTGAGGAACCTCCATACTGCTTTCCAAAGCGATTGAACAAGTATACACTCCCACCAACAATGCAGTAGGGTTCCCTTCTGGCCACATTCTCTTAAACATCTGTTGTTATTAGATTTCTTGATTATAGTCATTCTAACTAAGGTGAGGTGGTATCTCAATGTTGTTTTGATTTGCATTTCTTTTATGGCTAGAGAGGTTGAGCATTTCTTCATGTGTCTATTGGCCATTCTTGTTTCCTCTTCAGAGAAGTTTCTCTGTAAGTCTTTAGCCCACTTATTTATTGGGCAGTTGTTTCTTTGAGTATTTGTTGTTGGGGGATTTAATTTTTTGAGTTCCAAGTATATTTTATTTATTTATTTTTGTTTATACATTTTTAAATTTTTTAAATAAGTTTTTTTATTGTGAAAATACTGTACAGAGGGGTTACAATCACATGAGCAAGGTAATGAGTACATTTCTTATCAAGCATTGTTGTCTCCTTTGTTTTCCTCCTACCATCCCTTCCCTCCCATTGCCACAACTACATTCTCCCTCCCCAACCCTCTGCCTAAATTGTAAAGTTCGTTTTTTGACATAGTGTCTTATACATCTCATTGTTGTAATGGGTCAACCTGTATTCCTATTTAAACAATTTGTTTTTTCCCTTCCGCTCCCCAAATTATACCACCATTAAATACAGTGAAAACAGGGGTTATACCGTGGAGGAGGAACATACAAAGCAACAACAACAAAAAAACACGTGGTACCTTATAAGTACTTTAGAAACAATAACAAGAAAGAAAAAACCACATTGCCCCATTTGTTAGGAAATGGAAAGACTTGGAAAAAATTAAGTAAGCCAGGCCCAAAGAAACGTAAGTCCCATGGCTTCCCTTATTTGCAATAACTATTCTGTGTCTGGGACAAGCAGAAAAGGTCAAAAGCTATGTACATATGACCAGATAAGATGATGTTAAGTTAAATGAACCCCAAGATAGGGACACAAGTGGTTTTTTCTTTCTTGTTATTGTTTCTAATGTATTTATAAGGTACTACGTGATTTTTTTTTGTTGTTGTTGCTTTTTATGATCCTCCCGTATGGTAGGTATAACCCCTGTTTTCACTGTATTTTATGTTAGTATAATTTGGGGAGGGGAAGGGAAAACACAAAAATGTTTAAATAGGGATACAGGTTGGCCCATTGTAACAATGAGATGTACAAGATACTATGTTGCTGGGGGGGGGGGGGGGTTATGTAGTTGTGGCAGGGAAGGGCTGGTAGGGGATAAAACAAAGGAGGAGGCAACAATGCTTGATAAGAAATATACTCATGGGCTGGGAAGGTGGCTCAGTGGTAGAGCGCTTGCCTTGTATGCCTGAGGCCCTGGGTTCGATTCCTCAGCACCACATAAGCAAAAAGAAAAAAGCCGGAAGTGGCGCCATGGCTCAAGTGGTAGAGCACTAGTCTTGAGCTGAAATGCTGAGGGACAGCGCCCAGGCCCAGAGTTCAGGCCCCATGACCGTGCCCCCCCCCCCCAAAAAAAAAAAGAAAGAAAAGAAATATACTCATTACCTTGCTCATGTAACTGTAGCCCTCTGTACAGTATTTTCACAATAAAAAACATTAAAAATAAGGTATATTTCTATGTCTCCCCCTTTAGTGAGATAGGCTTATGGTAGAGCCAGGAATTTATAGTTTTAAGGCACATCTAAGTGAATGTATTGTGAATTGTCCTTAGATGAAACTGAGAAGCACTGATCTGCAAGGTAAAATTGAGGACTTATTCAAGAGTACTATTTTTCATAATGGACTCTAGGTCTTAATTGATTGTAAACCCTTATCTTGGTCAACTTAGGTGAATAGTGACAATCAGATATGAATTTAAATAACAGATAAACCACTTCGCATTTAATAGCTTTTGTATCTTTGTAGAAAAACTTGAAATATAACCTTGATTTTTAAACAACTCCTAAGACATGTGTAAAGGTCAGTTAGTCCTGGAATGAGAATAGACTTGGAAATCACTTTAGTGATTACAGGTGATCAATTTCATAAGCTTAGGCCAGTAGAATGAAGTAGACACACTTGGCAGCCACCTTCAATTCTCCTTCTAGATCTGACATAATACTGTGGTTATTGAATGTTCTTAAAAAGTATTTACCTTTTCCTTCATAAATAAATATATAAATAAAATATAATATTTTTATGACTACAAATTGAGCCCCTCTTAGATACTAATCTTCAGTCCAAGTTCAAACATTTTTTAAACTAGATTTTTATTTTTGTGTCTAATTTTATGAATGTAGGGGAAAGAGAATAGCATCTAGTTTGTACTTTCATTATATTATTATATTGCTAGAATCCCATGGTCTAATTGCTAGGTACATTTTGGTTTTTAAGATATATCTTGAAGGCTGGGAAGGTGGGTCAGTGGTAGAGCACTGGCCTTGCATGCCTGAGGTCCTGGGTTCGATTCCCTAGCACCACATAAGCAAAAAGAAAAAAGCCGGAAGTGGCACTGTGGCTCAAGTGGTAGAGCGCTAGCCTTGAGCTGAAGAGCTGAGGGACAGTGCCCAGGCCCAGAGTTCAGGCCCCACAACTGGACTCTCCCCCCCCCCTCAAAAAAAAAAAGATATATCTTGAGTTTTTAAAGATACAACTTTGTGAAGGGTAAGTAGAGTTGAAGGACAGTGATAAAAGGGGTGACTGATCAAGGTACATTGTATGTATATATTAGCATGTCAGAATAATACATCCTTGTACAACTAATTGATATTAAGTAGAAAAAGTACACCATCCTTTGTAATACTGAATGCGATTATCTTACTGGAAATTAATTCAAAGCTGTAATTAATTTCTGTAATAATAGTGCAATTTTAAAAACTTTACTTGTGTTTATAAGCTATCTACTGTATTCTTGTTACTTGAATTGCTTAAGTAATTTTTAAAGATTTTACATAAGAAACAATATTTGAAAATTCTGAGTTTATACCTTCAGTAATAATTCTAAAATATTAATTTTTGACTCTTAAAAGTCCAATTCAAATGGTGTCTATAAATATCTAAAGTTAGCATTGCGTCAAGTTGATTTTAGGCTAATCTAACCTACACATGCACACTAAAGATTAAACTCCAGGCCTTATACTTGCTAGGAAAGTATTCTACCACTTGTGCTACATTTCCAGCCCAGGATAATATATTTTTCCAAAATACTGCTTTGTAATTCAAAATAAAATATTGCAGAGAGATATCAGTCAC